GCCAGCCGGGCACTTCCCCTCCCGTGGCGGCTCTGCTCCTCCCCTGACTCTTCGGCTCTGTTTAAGAGCCGAGCTGCCCGAGCGCTATGGGCTTCAGGCAGCCCCCTTGCCTCCGGACCCCAGCCGCCGGCCGGGCACTTCCCCTCCCGTGGCGGCTCTGCTCCTCCCCTGACTCTTCGGCTCTGTTTAAGAGCCGAGCGCTACGGGCTTTGGGCAGCCCCCATGCCTCCGGACCCTGCGCCGCCGGAGCCCGTTAATTTTCCTTTTTCTTGCACTAGATATCAAGAACAAGGAAAAGGATGATTCTGAGGTTGCATGTAAACTTTCACTATGAAATATCTTCACTTCTAGACTTTCTCTTTAGCTACGCAATATGTTTTAAGTTTAATTTGAGTTTCTTTTTTGCCCTAGCTGTAGATCTTCTTGAGAAGATGCTTATATTAGACAGTGATAAAAGAATAACTGCCTCAGAAGCACTCGCACATGCTTACTTTGTTCAGTATCATGATCCTGATGATGAGCCTGAGGCCGAACTATATGATGAGTCGATAGAAAATAAAGAACGAACCATAGATGAATGGAAAGGTAAGGGAGAATTGTATGCAGCTGTTCAAATGTGCAGCAAAAAATTTATTTGCTTAAAAAACTGTTTTTGTCTGGTTCTTGCCCAGGGAATTGCAACACAACTTGAATTCAGAAACTTCAGAATAACAACGCAAATCTGTGTGTATTTCCCCCTTATGGTTCTAGTCCCTCTTTCCATTATCTGATCGCTGGATTTTCCTCAACACGCACAGCCCCACGTGAAGGCAGGTGCAAGTGATCTTGTAAGGATCCTGTATTTTTATTCTTCTGTAAACTCTTGTGGGCCAGATCCTCAGCTGGATCGATGTAGTGGAACGATGCCAGTTTACATCATGTTTGGTTTTGGCTCTGACCCTTCTTCTGCAGTAATAGCAAATGTGTGAACAAATGGCCTGTTAACTGTTTCCTATGCATGCAATCACAGTAAAAGCTAAAGCAAATTAGGCCTGCACACCCAGGGTGAAATTCCCCTTTGTGTAGAGGGCCAGCCTGTGGCCTTTGCACCATTTCAATTCCAAAAGGATTATGTGGGATTAAAGTGCTGGGTATGCTTTTTGTTGTCCCTTTCTACAGGGTGAATCTGAACCCCAATGCTTGCCCAAACTATTTGTTCCAGTTGTATAGTGGGCTTCCTGAAATTTGACCCCATATGTGCAGCTGCTATGGCCATTAAAAGATCTGTTGTGATTCTACCTTTCAGCAAACACACATAAACAAGAAACTCTTTCTCAATATTTTTGGAAATTTTTTTACATATTCCATTTGAGATGGAGGAAATTGAAAACATGGCAAGATAAAGTGGAGTGCAGAAGACATCTTGATTCTTTCTTAAATCTCCCATTCATGTGTATGTTGAGAGGGTGCAGGAATAATCATTGCCCCTGGCTGGGTTCTCTGGGGATACTCTCTATTTAGCACCTCCTCCTAAGAACTGAGACCCCGCAGTCCAACTGCCTAGCCCCTGGGACCAGTGGTGATCCCTGTAGTTTAAGCCCACCCTTTCCCAGGATTCCACCTCCTGGACAGTGTGGGTTTACCATTTAACTCTGCAGGGGCACATGACAATGAAAGCCAACAGACGTACAGACAGCCTTTGCATAGGATTCTAAACACAATTACACTTTACTTACCATGATAAACACACGTATATGCATTTTTGCTGCCTCAGTTTCCTTACCACTCTATAGAGTTCTTTGGGGTGTCCAGGACCCTTCTCGTGCAGCTCATGGCTTCTCTTCAAAAACTTGGAACTTCTCTCCCTCTCTGTCAGCTAACTTTCTCTGACCTCGGCTGGTCCTGCTGTTAAACAGGATGCTCCTCTCTCCTGCCCAAACTTTCCCGAGTCTCCGACCCACCCAGCCTCAGTGGCTTTTAAAAGCCAGCATCAGTCTCTTGGTTTCTTTGTTCTGCTGCTGGGGATTTTCCACTCCCTTCAGCGAAGTCTGAGTAACTAGCGCCCAGCTTCAGCCAAGCCATTGTCCCAAGCAGGGCCGGCTCTGGCTTTCTGGCCACCCCAAGCAAAAAAACAAACAAACAAACAAAAAACCACTGCGGCAGCCAGAACAGCAAAGCAAAAAAAAACCTGCGGCACGGCCGAAGCCAGGGTTCACAGGGACTCCCTGCCCTGCAGATGTGCCCCGGCTAGCGGGGGGAGGGAGAGGGAGTGGGGGGAGCGAGAGAAGAGGGGCGGCCAGGGCTTCAGCAGGGCGCTGCCACGCGGCCTCTCCCACCGTGCCCCCTGGTGGGAGGGCTCCGCGCCGCTCCGGTCGGCTGGGAGGGACGGATGTGGGCTGCCCTGCCGGGCTTGCTGCAGGGCGCTCCTGTCCTCCACGCTGCTGCCCCCTACAGGGCAGCCGGAGCGGAACAACAACAACAACAAAAAGCAGCCATGCCGCCCTAGGATTGGGCAGAATGCCGCCTCCTACAAGCTGCCGCCCCAAGCACCAGCTTGCTCGGCTGGTGCCTGGAGCCGGCCCTGGTCCCAAGGTGATTCCACCAGAATAGGTGACCATTTTAGGTCTAATGACAAACCATTGTCCCTGGTCTGATTGACCCAGAGACATAATACAGCCCCTATCAGCACACAGTGGGTTCCACATACACAGGCATTCAGAAATACAGCAATTTCATAACATCAACCAGAATTCATAAATGGTACATAGACAGATTCCCCAAATTATCATAGCGGTACACAGGGGGATAGTCTGTGGGCAAAGGGTGGTGTTTCTTTATTTTTGATTGGCACCCGGACTCTAAGGTTTTGATTCTCTATTCCATCCAAACTATGGGGCTTCATGTAGCTGGTTGCAGCCCCTTAGTTCAGGACCAACCAGTGCAAAGGGAGCACTAACTAACGTATACTACCGGCATAAGGAATTATAGGCCAGTGGAAAATCTGTGTAGTGAAGCTCCAGTCTGGCATGCCCCCTTCTCTCTCAGACCTTTCCTATCACCACCACCCCCACTCCACCACTTCCCCTTATGCAAGTGGTGGGGACGGCTAGCACAGGATGCAATGGAGCTACCTCTGCCAGCTTTCCACTAGTGGAGAGTTTAGGAGGTGTGGGGGAAGGGCAAGAATTCTGTCTCCAGCCAGAGCAGAGTGCTGAGTGGCCTGAGCAGAGAATCCTGCCCTGACCCTTTGTGCGGTTCCCTCATCGCAAAATGGATATGGCAGAGCTGGTTTATCCAGCATATTTCTGCATGTAGTTTAGCTATGGGGAGCCTGGTTCATTGTCTGCTCTTCTATGGTTATGTGGATGTGAGTGCTATAAAGTGGGAGCTTGAGGAAACTGCTCTTTGTGAGGAATCTCTAGACTAGATCTTGAGCTCTGACTGGTGAGGGCTCAGTGCAGAAGGGGTGCTGCGAAAATAACTGTAAATGATCTTTTCACTCCCCCAGTTCTGAAGCTGGTCCCTGTTTTAAGTGAGAGCAGACTGATGGCTACTCCAAATTACACTCTTACCCAGAGCTCCAAAGATCTGTTCCAGCAGCTGGAGATACCTGGAGTTTAAGGGATCCTCTCCAGTGCCCTCTTATCCTCCCTTCTCCCCCTCCTTCCCCCCAGTCGTGTCCCCATAAACTGGCTGCCTATATCTGTGCCACCCAAGAATCCTTCCACACTGGTGAAATCCTACAGAGGCTGAGTTATAGTAGTGGTGCAAAGCTACGCTAGTGCAGGGCAGGAAATGGGCCACAGTGTCCAGTCAGTGAGGAGCAACCCTCTGTTAGCTTGAGGAGGGCTCTCCCATAATTCTGCTACCTCTGGATAGATGATGAGAGCTGATTGCCATCAACTGTTCCCTCCACAAAATTTGTCTGCTGCAAAGCCTGGAAGCACGTGTTGCCTTGCAGTTATCTTGTCTAATATGAATCCATGCTGCATTTGCTGCTGTAACTACAGGTGCTTAATTTGTTTGTCTGCTATTTCCTCAGATGGTTGAGCCCTTGACAGGAAGATTTAACAATTTCCTTTTCACAAAATTAATTCCTCTTCATGATGCAAGCCTCTTTTAAAATGGTTTCAGGGGCAAAGTTGGTTTAACGCTTCCTGAGCTGAAACTGGGAAGTGGGGATAACTTCTCTATAAAAAGCAAGAATGTTTTATGCAGCAGCAGCAGATTCTGTTGCATCAAAAAGATGGTGAAATTAACCCTTGTTCAAAGGGCCAGCCCGAGGCCTATGGGCCACGTAAGCCTAGGGTGACCAGATGTCCTGATTTTATATGGACAGTCCGATTTTGGGGTCTTTTTCTTATATAGGCTCCTATTACCCCCACCCCCATCCCGATTTTTAACATTTGCTGTCTGGTAAGCCTTCAAAATAGGGCTTGCATGGAATTGAAGCTGAGCATAGGTCTTTTTGTTGGGACCTCTGCACAGGGCAGGGCCAGCTCCAGGGATTTTGCCGCCCCAAGCGGCGGAAAAAAAAAAAAGCCACGATCACGATCGGCAGCAGCTCCACCGCGCTGCTTTCTTCTTCGGCGGCGGCAATTCGGCGGCAGGTCCTTCCTTTGGAGAGGGACCGAGGGACCCGCTGCCGAATTGCCACCGAAGAGCCCGACATGCCGCCCCAAGCACCTGCTTGCTGGGCTGGTGCCTGGAGCTGGCCCTGGCAAAGGGATGAATTTCACCACAAGAGATATATAGTTCTTCTCATTCTCTTCTCTACATATTTAATCTATCATTAGAAAATGGCCCTTGAAAATACCTAAGGTTCTGAAAATAAGACAAATACTAAGTCTGATTCTGCAGTCTGATTATTTCAGTTTAATTATTTTGACTTTTGATTGTATGGATAGAAGCAGAAACATCTAGGTGATCAAACAATTTATCTGAGGAAAATTACAATTAATATTTCAGATGCTGCATTCCAGCAAATGTGTGTTCTCATTCCATGTGCTAAATAATTAAGTGCACAGGCAGTCTTATATAAAAATTATTTGAGCGGTTTGTTTGGTTAGCACAGGGGTCGGCAGCCTTTCAGAAGTGGTGTGCCGAGTCTTCATTTATTCACTCTAATTTAAGGTTTTGTGTGCCCATTAATATTTTTAAATTTTTTAAAAGGTTTTTTTTCT